ATAAAAGAATTATGTTTTGGGTGTAAAATTCAGAAGATCAGATGAAGCAGAACTTATTTTAGTTACAGTATGGTGAGCTGGATTGCATACTTTGCAGATCAGAATGTGCTGGTGCAAACAAAAAAATAAAAAAAATGATTAAAAATGCATTTTTCTAAGTGATTTTGGTATCAAAATGAGCAAAAGTATCCTACATTTGGAGTAATAGAAACATAATGCTTGTTGCCATAAATTAACTTAGAAAGAACGTATCAGTAAGGGTTTGGAATTAATCATTTCATTCAAGTAGGATTTTGCTGTACTGTATTACATATACAGTATACAGTACATATAAACAGTCATAAATAACCCAACCCACACGTCTTGAACCCTTATCAAGTCAAAACTGAGCCATAAAGGGGAAGGAAGCCATTATAAAGCGGATATGAACATTGGTCTCATCTGTCTTGTTAAGGACTCAAATCACTCAATTGCTTGGTTTTCCAAAATAATCTTTCCTGCTTCTACTCTCCACAGATGCCCAATATTAACCTTAGTCTTGGCTTTGTTGCTGTTGACCCTCGCCCTACTTGTTGAGGGTCCAGGACAAAATGAAACGTTGTCACTTTCATTTCATTTAACAAGTTGGTGGTTGGGTTGTGTTTTCAGCAACATTATTGTGACATTCTTTCTGCATACAAACATATATTCATGCCATAATATAGATGAGGGATCTTATGAGATAATATACTAGGTGCCAGTAGAACCTTGACACAAGTGAATAGCAAAAAACTAACTTGGGTAATATGGGGAAAGTAGAGCTGCATTCCAGAGACCTCCCAGAGACTCCCGTGTCAATAAAACATTTGCCAGGACATTAATGATCACCAAGTACAGGTACACTGTACTATACACATGGCATTGGCAAGTACCAATTACTATGTTAATGGTACCAGTGGCATAGAAGATAGCAATTACCACTTCATAGTTAGAAATATACCATACTAGCCAGTATTAAGTAGATTTATTTATTTACCAGTGGTGAAGATGAGAATAGAAATATGTTTTCCTTTTCTAATTTGGCCATTGTGTAGTGCAGCAGGTATTAGAAAATCTGGAAAGTATCCAGTTGCAAGTATCCAGACTTGTAATCTAGCTATTTAAAGCATGAAAACATTACTCATCATCCGTGTATCATGCTTTCTGAATTTTCGAGTTAAATGCCTACCTTATGTAAAGTACATTTATTACATAGCAGGTGTTCACAACAGATTCTGAATTTTAACTGGATTTTAGATGGCTGTTTTGGCAGTTAGCAATTTTCTGTTCACAATCAAGATCACATTCAACTTTAAATTTGATACTAGGAACCAATGAGTATAAACATACACACATCTCCCAGCTTGGCGCCTTCTTTTGATAATTACTCACTAACACATAGGTCACCGTATGTGATATTGTATTTTAACATTCCTAGAAAAAATAACCACCAAATTTGCTAATGTGTACAAACATATTTTTTGTTGCGTAATAATTTTTTCTATAAAAAATTAGATTGTGTCGTGGAATGTCCACTATTAATAGTTATACAATGTTTTATGTGGAGTATATTGCTTTGGAACATGTGACCTGCCTTAGATCAAACTTTGATATGATGTACTTCAGGTTCATGGATGATACATTCATTTGCTGGAAAAAGACCCAGTCTTTGATAATATAAACTCATTAGTCCCCAGTATCAAATTTGAATGTGAATATAAATCTTTATGAAAATTTCTGTTTCTGGTTTAGCACTCCTCGGTAGCTCCTCCTCATGTTTCCAACTCATAGGATACTGTGACAACACTATGCTTCCCATAACAATCTTGACACTATGTGGACAAGCATTGTTTTCACCTTTGTTCTTTCCATGTGGTGGGAAGCTTTTGAGGATCAGAGATGAATTGCCCAGTCAGTGGAAATCACAAAGCTAATCATCAAATTTTGTAAAGCAGTTCAATACTGAAGTTTCCTTTAAAAACTAGCCAAAGGAAAGTTAAACCTATATTTACAAACAATAATCCAAACAGATTTACAAAAGACAGTGGGTGCATGATTTGGTGAGTAATATGCAAATTATTACCTAATGCAAAATTTATTGTACAGTACTGTATATAAGTAACAATTAGACAGATGATTCAGTTGTGCCACCACAGGCAAAAGAAAAAACACATTTTTTGGTTTTTGCATGTATCCTACAGTATTAGCACATCATATAATATAATGATTGTGATACACTATATTAATAATGTATTAATATATGAAAATGCTCAGTTTTCCCTTTAGTTATTTCTGCACACACAGTACAGTATATGCATTGTGCCTTTAATTGAAATTGCATAATTTGGCCTAGTAACTAAGGACTATTTTGATTAAAGCTTATATTTTGGGAATTTTGTTATATCTGAAAATCTGTTTGCACAATATAATTTTCATATTGATGGCTGTAATACTACCCAATATGCTGTATGCCTAATTGTACGTACATTAGGAAATGTTAAGGAATACAGTAATAGATTATTCTTCAAAGCTAGGCTAGGTTGCCAAGTTATTGTTTTTGCTCAAATTAAATATAATATATTTATCATATTTATGGAACTAATTTAAAAGCATAAACATGTACAGACACTAAACTATTGTCATCAGTTAACTACGGTATCTGCTAAGTTGAATATGCATCACAGTCAAGACACTGAATATGTACCAGATAAACTACCTGAAGTGACAACACGGGATTTTTGTGTGGATATTATATCTGATGTCCAAAGGATGAATAATATTCTGGATGAATGATCAAAACCAGCATAAAATTATTTGAAAACCAACCCAATATTCATTATTACGTGGATGAATATTTCACCCAAAGTGCAATTTAAAATATTAACAGTATGGACTGAATTGCAATATACGTATCCATATTTGTTCAAATTACTGGGAACCGTCATGCAAAGAGGGATAAGAGACTACTACCCTTTTCCTCTCCATTCTCCCTTTCTTCATCTCTCTCTCACTCATTCTAACACAGTAGGCATTTTTGTAACTCAGGGTGCACTCAGGAAATTTCTAATGAAGATTTTTTAATATAACTAGTAATTTGATTTTGATGTTTGTGAGTATACCCAATAGTGAGGAAGAAAATTGCACCAGATTGTATTCATTACAAGCAATAATATAATGTAGTAAATCCAGTTAAGTGCTCAAAATGATAACTTTTATTTTTTCATCTTGATGTGATCCATAGTAAACAGTGTGGTTATTTTGATAGATGTTGGTTGTTGTTTTCTGTGATTATTTACATATATTTTACATGCCTAATTTTAAAACTTTTTGGAACTCCTTATATAATTTCTCGGTATCTTAATATTTAAGATACTTGAGATCATTTGATAAACCTTAATTTTTACATTAATGTGCTTTATCATATTAGTTAGCTTAGTACTGCCATACTATGTTGCAATGGAGGTGTAATTTATGTAATATTCAATGTTATTTTGCCCCCGTCACCTTAAAAATATGGAAAGTTGTCATATTTATACTTTTCTGTTAAGTTAAACTTTGTGATATTGTTTTTATATGATGTATATAATTTTATTATATTACTGTACTTTATAATACATCTTACATTTTGTAAAACACCCAAGAATTCACACTATTGCATTATGCTATATTATTTATTTGTATAAAGATTTAATATTTTGACAACATAAGAAATACCACTTGCTTTGTGTGGAATTGCAAAATGTAAATTCTGTAAAGAGCTTCAATATTGTATGAGAGAAAACATTTTTTAGTGCTGCATTACCCCCAGCAAAAAACATATTACTGAATGCATTCACTGGATGTGGTGTAACTTTGATTTTTTACTATTTATTATATTATGAAACAAATTATTTACTTGCTGCAATGGTTTTGATAACATTTTTTCATTGAGAAATTGTTAGATATTGCTTTTCAGAAAAAAATAGTTTGGCCAGTTGATTCCCATAACCTACATTTGTGTACTTATATATCTGTTATGTGACCAATACAGCAATATTTATTTATATATTTGTTTGATAACCCAGATTAAATAGAATTTGAAAGTGGACTTGGTTCCCAATTGTACAAAAATATTCTTGAAAATCTCAGTGGTATCTGAATGCTGTTGCTAATATGAGGATATTTGCCAGAGGATTGGAAAAGATCAGTGATTGCACCACTCTTTAAAAATAAAGAAGAATGTAAAGAGTATAACAAAATTTGAAATACAGTATACGTTTATTAAGAGTAGTTAGCAAATTGTATGGCAGAATAGTTATCGGAGGAGTACAGAAAAGTAAAGTTAAATGTATCAGTGATCAGCATGGTAGGTTTTATGGTGGAAGAAGTGTTGGTCAGATGCAGACGAGGAGTCACAATAACATAACGTGGCTGAACGTGTTGATCAAATATTTGCACTGAGACGGCTTATGGAGAAGGCATGTGCAAAACATTGTATGTAATGTGTACTCATATATTTTTAAAATCCATAAATGATAACAAAGTTAGTAGCAGTTCATGTTAAAGTTAGTAGCTGTGGCAGTTCATTAGCATAAGAATGACCACAAGCACCCTTTTAAGCTAGCTAACTTACGTATGTTGTGAGCTAGTTTCATCATTTGATTTACTTATCAAACGTACCACCATCCAATAGGCGACAGTGGAAAGGTTACCATCACCCACATTTTCTACCTACAGTTAGCAAACTGGGGATATTTGGCTAAGAGTTCTAGTAGTCGATTATTTAGTGAAATAAATCTCTCTTTTCGCATTTAATCACATAGTGCCGCAAGGTGTGCAAATAATTTTACAGAGTTTATATTTGGTTAGGTCTGCATCAGCAGGTAATGCAGATTCTGAGAGATACTTATAATCTAGTCTAAGCCATGCAGTAGTAACATTCTAGGAGTATGCTGATTTTATTGGATGATGCATAGATGTGTAAGTTGCATAAGTGAGGAACATTAGTATTCAAATTAAGTCAGGGTCAGTATATAAAATGTTTATTTATACTGGGTGAGGCCTCCAGGCATACACTGTACTTCTAATACATCACTAAACACGGTCTCAGCGGCGGGGCGCCAGTGATGTGGTAGTTAATTTACAATTTTGCTGGAGATGACAGCTGGACTGTAGTCGGAAAATTACACATTGCTCTGGTCCCACTTTAATCGGTGTTATAAACCTTCCATGACACCACTTAACCCTCTTGAATCAATATCTGGAATTAAACTTTTAAGGAATTCGTGTAGTAAGTAAAAATAGTGATTTAAAATTGAGAGGAGTATTAGCCACTCAACACCACTCGCCACCACCACCACCACACCACTCCACAGCTGCACATTTCACCAACTTCATATAAAAAGGCAAACCCAGAAATAAACAAGTCATGTACACACAGACCAACCGTATCACATTGATGAGCAATAATAATACTACTAACAATTACCACACACACACATACAACTTTTTAAACTAAACTCTGACTATAGCATTACTTTAATATTTTGCTACAACACATTTCAACTTATAAACTGATAAACATTACTGCCACACTGACCAACAGTATCATCGATGTCAACATCAGTCTTCATGTCGAAGGGGACGTTGCCCTCGCCGTCATCACTAACATCGAGGTTCTTGATTATACGTCTCTGTGACCCCGACCCAGGCAGCACCTGCGTCTGTATAGCAAGAAGTGTGTGTTGTGATTGATTGATTAATGAAGATTAAGCCACCCAAGAGGTGGCACTGGCATAAATAGCCCGTAAGTAGTAGATTTTTTGGGTGAATATTATCTTTAGTCGTGAAATTATATAATGTGTGCTGAACACGCATTTAAACTGTCAGTCCTTACTATGTGACTGCTATTGCGGGGGAGGATACTGCTACATATAGCAGTATCTGCGATATATATACATATATATATATATACATATATATATATATATATATATATATATATATATATATATATATATATATATATATATATATATATATATATATATATATATATATAATGCGCAGTAGCAAAGAGGACACTTAATTAAATTAAGTAAAGAGTAGGTGTAGCGTAGTTTAAGACTGGGGTGATAAGCTGTGAGACCCTGGCAGTTACAGCCCCACTCCTGTGCCAGGTAAGTCCAATACGGGCTCACCATATCTCGTGCTGCTTGGAACTTTTTGTTCCTAGAAGCTGAATCTTAAACAACAACAGGTGTGGGACTCACCATCCAGACAGTCACCAGGTAAGTCAGTGCCCACAGTCTCATCATGGCAGGTATCTGTAGGGAAGACAAACTGTGGTTGTATACTTATCACTCATCACACAGTATTATTATACTTATAGGAAGATATACTAGGCAGCTATACTAGGAACTCGCAATGTAGTAGAATTTTCTTAATATTAAATTATGTATATCAGTCATTACATCAAATGTTGCGCACCTCACGACGAAGCCATGAGAAAATCTGAAATATATAGCACATTGTAGAAATGTTAGGTGGTGCTACATTGCCTTCCTGGTTTAGTGCCTTCTTTTGATAATTACATTACATTGTAGATATGGGAAGGAATCTACAGGAGATAAACTCTGACTCCATCATTGATTATTTCATTATATTTGTGTCTAGCTTCAGATATAAACATGTCACAGTTATGCCTTGGGGAGCTGAGGGCAATCAATGATGATGACAAGGAGTCACAATTAGCGTGTCAACTTTGGATTCATATACGCGCTCGAGTGCAAGGATTATGGCAACCAATTCTGTTTGAAGAGTGGAGGCCTAGGTATTTATATGCGCTCCACACTCATAGGAGAAGGAACTATCTCTCGTTGTCACAGCAACTGCACTTTCAGCTTGCACCAGTCCCTTCAGCTGGGACTGGTGCAAGGAGCCATCAGTGTAAATAATCTGGGAAAGGGAGCGCTCTCTGACCAAAGCATCAATTTGGCTTAAGGCATTGTACTTTAAAACCATAAGAACAAAGGTAACTGCAGAAGGCTTGTTGACCCATACGAGGCAGCTCCGATAACCACATGTCCAACCCACGTTTGAAACAATCGAGGGACCCCACCTCCACCACGTCACGCGGTAATTGGTTCCACACATCAACAACCTTGTTACCGAACCAGTATTTACCTACCCAAGTCTTTCCTAAATCTAAACTTATCCAATGGTAGACATTGGCTCGTAAAGCTCCTCTTTGCATTCTTTAAGCACCCTGGCAAACACCTCACCGGCCCTGGGGATTTGTTTGGTTTGAGTTTTACTATTTGTTTAATTACATCCTCCCTGGTAACTGCTAAACTATTTGGAAAGGGGTGATCTCCCATGGGGCAGGAAAGTGTCGTTGTTGTCTCTCTTGGAAGAGGTGATGAATATTACACATTCTGAGCACAGTGGCGGTTGCGGTAATCCATTTGGAGGGATGCTGACCTTCAAGGAAGAAGGCTTGGAGGGCTTCAGTGTAGGGGTTGGGGTGGGTTAGCCTAAGCATCTTGATACCAATTAAAGCATTAATTTCAGTGATACGATCACTTATACATGAAATATTTAGTTCCTCATGTTTAGTAATTTAGTTGTACGGTGGCATCCGAGGATAATCCTATTGACTTCATTTTACATCTTTCCAGCCCTCCAAGCATTCTCTCGGGCACTAGAGCAAGCATGGGTGCAGCATAATCGATCAGAGATTAATATATGAGAGATACATCATTTTGCCAATAATCACATTTGCGCCATAGCTTGGATGGTAGCCTGCAACAGCCTTGAGAGCACGGAGCCTCTCTCTGTGCATTGATGACCCAGTCTGGCTACAACATTGTGGTACAGTGGAACCTCAAGACCAAGGTATGTGTATCTGGTTTCATAGTCGAGCAGAGAGCCATCATGCAGCTGCATCTTGCGAACGGCCCTACCCCGTTTGGGTGCGCGTCGGTTCAGGATCTTTGTTTTCTCGACTGAGATGACTAAGCCTAGTTCCTGACATGTGTGCAATACAGAGTTCAGAACATTTTGGGTGTTGTAATACCCACTGGTGTGGATCAGTATATCATCCGCATAGCTAATGATGTGTTCGATGGGCCTCCTAGTTACTAAGTTTAGAAGTGCATTGATTAACACATTGAACAGAGTAAGACTGAGGACACCTCCCTGTGGAGTGCCAAGTTCAAAATCTTTCGTTACACTCCTATGCCCTTGGAACAATACAGATGACTTCCTGTTGGATAGATAGCTTCTTATCCACCGTAGAAGCCATCCTCCAACATTCATTTTAGCAAGTTCGCTCAGAATGACGTGTGGGTTAGCAATGTCAAAGGCTGACTTAAGATCTAGGAAAGTGGTATATGACCTATCAGTATGCAGGGTTATGAAGGCGGTAATACAGTGATGTACACTCCATGCGTGAAGCCATATATCTGGGAAGACAACAAGTTACTAATTTTGTAAGATAAGGGAAATGACAGTACTGGAAGAGAATACATACTTTACCATCCGACGATGTGAGGCGAGTGAAAGATCAGGGGCTGAGGCAGTTTATATAGCGTGGCGGCGCCTGTGGCTCCTCCCACAATTGTAAGGTTCGTTAACAGGAAATAGACGTGTTTCTCCTCTCCTCTCATCTCTTTCTCTCCTCTCACAAGCATGTCCCTCCGGCCAAGGGTACAACGCTCATGGTGGTCGTAATCTTGACCACTTCTAAAAAAGATCAGATGTAACAAACTGATATTTGTCAAATTATCAATCAAACTATCAATGCTATCAATGTGCTTTAATATACCTACTAATCTCTCAAATTTTCTTACAATGTACCTGTTAACATTTTATAAATTTTGCTAGAATTTACCTAATTAATATTATCTGTTGGTCTCCAAGCATATACATATATATATATATATATATATATATATATATATATATATCTTATGAATTGATAAAGCTATTCATTTCATTATGTATGAGCTAATTTTTTTTTTAATTTTAGTTATAGCTAAAGATATATCACCGAACCTAACCAACCCTACCTAACCTATCTAAATGTAACCTAAACTAACATAACTAAATCAATAATTTATGCTCTTAATATAATATAATAATAATATTTAAAATAAACCAATAGGAAACAATTTATTGAAAATAAAGATAATCACTCGGCCTATTAGGCAAATCGGGCCTTGCATAGTAGGCCGAGAAGTGCGTTCTGGCTACTATACTAAAAAACTGTATAGTATACTAGTGTTAAAACTAGTATAAAAATGGTTGCATAAATAAATTCCATAAGAGTATTCTCTGAATACTGGAACACCTGCTGCATGATTAACGACAGGTGACTTGCATGCATGTCCTGGTGTGTGTGACGCTTATCCTCACCACACCTGCTGCAGGAGCAGCCGTGACTAGGCTCCTCATGTACCTTCTGCCGCCTTCACCCTGACATTTGCAACTACTGTATTGCAATATAAAAATGTTTGGATTTAAGGACTATCGACTTGACAGGTGATAGGCTTTAAATCCTGACTCTGTTGGAGCTTTAAAGTAATAATATCGCTTGTTTCTAACTTAAAATTATACTACAACCACATAGAATAAAAATGAAAGCAGTAACGATTTATCTTGAATTGAGTTTATTAAACAGTAAACAGCTGAATAAAACTTGTTGAATAGTGAACAGCTCTTGAACAGCCCGACTGTTGGCTTTTCTGATGATCTGAACAAGCCAGAATTAGCAACAAGCAGGAAGGACAGCAATAATGGGACTTAAATGTGGACCAGATGGGAGAGGATGAGTAAGAGGGGTGAGGTCAAGGTACAAGTCACAAGACGCAGGGTGACTAACGAGGTACAAGTCACAAGACGCAGGGTGACTAACGAGGTACAAGTCACAAGACGCAGGGTGACTAACGAGGTACAAGTCACAAGACGCAGGGTGACTAACGAGGTACAAGTCACAAGACGCAGGGTGACTAGCGAGGTACAAGTCACAAGACGCAGGGTGACTAACGAGGTACAAGTCACAAGACGCAGGGTGACTAACGAGGTACAAGTCACAAGACGCAGGGTGACTAACGAGGTACAAGTCACAAGACGCAGGGTGACTAGCGAGGTACAAGTCACAAGACGCAGGGTGACTAGCGAGGTACAAGTCACAAGACGCAGGGTGACTAGCGAGGTAGAAGGTATTCAGTACGAGAGTTTAAGTTGAAGTATAAAACAGTATAATTATTTCAGTAGAGTAGGAAGTAATACAATATACAAAACTCGGGTAAGAAGTGAAGTAATCCAGTAAAGTCAAATGAAAAGTGAAAGAAGAGGTTAATATTAGAGTACAGGCGAGTTAGGCTGCAGGTGCGTTGTGGTACACAGGTCTGTATGTTACAGTTGCTTATGCCCGCGTTATGGTAGAGTCTCGTAACGTTTAGTATAACTGCATGTAGGCAGCAGCAAGGCCTTTTCACGCAGAATACACCACTCGATCCATTAAGGTAGACCTTCATCATCGTCTGTCTCCTTGTATTATCATTCTACCCAATGATACACCTTACCTTAATGATACACCTTAACTTAATGATAAATCTTACCTTAATTATACACCTTAATTTAATGATACATTCAGAAGTTTGAAATAATTCCAAAATTCAGTCGATTTTACTAGAGTAAAACTATTAGTAACATACATTCAGGTAATATTATATATATTTTGCATGAAGGTCGAATGTGTGGTGACACATTAAATGGTATCCACTTAATAATATAAAAATGTGCTATGACCGAAATTATAGTCAGTGGCACCCATGGCTGGTGTGAGGAAGATGCGCTTGATCGAATTTTGAGTGATAAAATTTTAGAGTGGTGATGGTTTATGCATGAGGCCTTGAGAATAACACCTGGGAGCGTCATAGTGTGTCAGATGTGTGGAAGCTGGGGCACTACGCACCTGTACGGCACTTGTGCAATGAAGGTTAACTGATGTGCACACTTGTATGACATTTATAGTCTATTATAAAAGAAATGTGGCAAGGGAAATGTTTGTGTAATCGTAGAAACACATGTTGGGACTGAAATTGTTTAAATAATAGCTGTCTTGACATGTGCAGACCAATACGCTCTTTGTAATTACAATAATATTGCACGAGTAATATTATTGTAATTTTCTTTTATTGTACAGTAATATTATTGTAATTTATTTATTTATTTATTTATGTACAAGAAGGTACATTGGTGGTTAACAGAGAACATAGAAATTAAGTTGATTTTATATTCTTGTAAAGCCACTAACCGTATAGCGTTTCGGGCAAGCTAACAAATAATTTTTAGATAATTCAGAGTAAAATTGACAAAATTTTTTTACTGGTACTTTACAGTTTTACTTAACAGGTACAGATAATTTTAAGTAGATTAATTATAGTAAGATTGACAAATTGTTTACAGGTACATTGTAAGACATTTTTTACACAAGCAGATTAGAATAATACATAATAATAACAATACACAATAATGAACAAGGATTACTAGGTACATTAGGATAACATTTCAGGGTTATACATTTGTTCACTGAAGCACAATATGAGGATCATTTCAAGGAATAATGCAGTAGAATATGCACTCAATACAACAACCATGATATCAGATGATATCTAAGATTACAATGGTAAAGTAATATGACTTAGGTACAAATATTGGGGGATTGGGTAGCACTAGATACAGTGCGAGATAAAGCACTAGGTAGAAAATTATGATTATGAAATTAGGTACTTGTTGGTTTTATTTTTGAATAAGGTAAAAGTTTGACAGCTTTTCTTCAAATCATTAGGGAGTTAGTTCCATAGAATAGGAACTTTAGACTTTATTTGCATGGAGTGTTTACACAGATTAAGTTTGACTCTGGGGATATCAAAGAGATATTTATGTCTGGTGTGGTGAGTATGTGTTCTATTACATCTGTCCAGGAAGAGTTTCAGAACAGGGTTTGCACTTATGAAAAGGGTTTTATAAATGTAATTGACACAAGAGAATGTATGGAGTGAATTTATGTTTAGCATGTTTAGGGATTTAAACAGGGGAGTTGTGTGTTGTCTGAAAGCAGAGCTTGTTATTGTCCTGATAGCAGATTTTTGCTGAGTGATGATGGGCTTGAGGTAGTTTGGAAAGGTTGAAGCCCAAGCACAGATACCATAAGTAAGATAGGGATAGATAAGTGCATAATAGAGTGAGAGGAGAGCAGAGTAGGGAACATAATATCTGATCTTAGAGAGTATACCAACTTTTTTAGAAACCTTTTAAGTTATGTGTTGTATGTGGGTGCTGATGTTGAGTCTCTTGTCTAAGTATAGCACAAGGAACTTTCCATCATTTTTATTGCTAATGTTTACATAATCTATCTGAAGCTGAATTGCATTTGTTGATTTGTTTCCAAATAAGATGTAGTAGGTCTTTTCTATGTTTAGTGTAAGTTTGTTGGTTGACATCCACAAGGGGCCTTTTTTTTAAATTTATTTTGGTTGTAATTTTACAACCACGTCTCAGTGCAGACCAATAAGTTGCTTGTAATTATATTAATATTAAGGGTCGTAAATACACTACGGGTTTGTCAAAACGGGATGCGTACCCGCGACGTAAATAGCCGCACGATGTAAAAAAAAAAAAAAAACATAAAATCTAATTATTATTCGATCGACTTCGGGTTAGTATGAAAATGTTTGCCATTAAATTTACGTTTTCTCTAATAGGAACATGGCCTATTTGGGAAAACGGCATTGTATTGTAACTTAGTGGAGAGACTATTGAGTTGTTGACACAACGAGGGTAATCGCCCACTTCACACACTCTTGGTGGGCCGCGATCATGATTCTACATTTATATGCATGTCTGTGTAGGGAATTTTATTGCGAGTTCAGTGATATAAAATTTAACGCTGTAGGACTAATGTGGAGCTGACAACAAACAAAAGAGTATGAAGACCAGACCACACACTAGAATTTGAAGGGACGACGACGTTTCGGTCCGTCCTGGACCATTCTCAAGTCGATTGGACCATTCTCAAGTCGACACAATCGACTTGAGAATGGTCCAGGACGGACCGAAACGTCGTCGTCCCTTCAAATTCTAGTGTGTGGTCTGGTCAACATAATTCAGCCACGTTATTGTGACTCATCGCCTGCAAAAGAGTATGAACATTTTGTTGCTGTTTGGGCGTCACGGCGAGTGACCTACGTTTTTATTTATTTATTGGTAGGATAGCTAATGCTTTGGTGACATTTTATACATATGAACTTATAGAGAATTTTATTGCCAACACATTGATACCAAAATGAAATACGTAGCTTGAGAATTGGTGTCAGGAGAGTGAAAAGATTACACACTTTTTGGTGTTTACGCTCAAGAGCCCAAAACGCCGCGCGCACAATGTTCTTTTTTTTTCATGAGTGCCGCGCGCACTAAAGTGATTATTAATCACACGCAGAAATCACACTAACGTGATATATATCAATGAGAAAATCAACTGGAGCTCTGAGATAACTCGAACCCAGGACCCCGAGAATCCCAGCCTATGACGATAACCACTGGACCACCCTGACGAAAAAGCATGCAACCGGATTTGTTTGATCACAGGAAATCCGGAGATCCTAGGGCCTGACAGCTGTGTGGAGAGTGCTTCTGATTCGTAG